AAGCACCCAGAACACCGAGGGGGCACGACAAAACTGACCCAAAAATATTCACACCCGTCCAGGGGTAGTCAGTGAGGACTGACCGAATTTTTTTTTTTTTTAGCCTTTTTTTGAAAGTTTTTCACAAATATGTTTTTAGAGGAAAGATTTCGGAATCTGAACCCTTAGCTTGGCGCCATCGATGCTGGCACCGAGCTAACACTTCTCGGCACCAGCGTCCCTGGCGCCGAGCTCTTTGGCTCGAGACCCACGTGGAGGTGACATGGCAAGGATCTCGGTGCCAGTCACCCTGGCGCTAAGCTCGGCGTCGTAGATCTTGGCACTGAGCTCGGCGCCAGTGTGACTGGCGCCGAGCTTGTGTTTTAACCCCGGCCCCAACCTTCCTGCCCGAGTTTTCTTCCTCTTCTTTCTCCTCACTCTCGAGTTTTTTCTTTCCCCACTTCGCTCTACATCACAAATCGGCATATTGGATATTGGAAACTTTGATTTGATCCGTAGATCTTCGAGAGCAAGGTATCATCGCTCCCCTTCTAGTTTTTTTTCGCATTGATTCGGTATATATTAGTCGGATTTTTGAATCTAGAATCGTCATTACTTAGAGTTTCATGCAATTTTTAGTATTTGTATTATACCTAGGTAACCGCAGTGTATGTTGTTATGTTTTATGGGTTCATTGTTGTGCATAACATTGGAAACCCTAGGTTTAGGGTTTAATGTTAATTGCTTTCGGTTCTTAAAACGAAATTGGTTGTATTGTAGTTATGGTTCTCATTGACATTTATTTGTGATGTTTTGATTTATGTTTGTTAAATTACATCCGTTTTGTTAGATGCAAGAAATGTTTTGGGAGGAGTTTTGACGAAAACGGGGTCGTCCTCGAGAATTATACCCCGACGCGTCTAACAAAGATACCCCCGTCCCTCTTGGTCTCTCTATCCCTAACTGTGACTGTGGTTTCCCGGCCCATATTTTTTAATCGAAACATCCGGACACAGCGGCGTGGTGCTTCTACACATGCAGTCGTTTTAATGTAAGAAATTGTTTTCACTATCTTTTTTCTTTATTTGTGTAAGTATACTACTAATATTTTGTTGGAATCTCGTTGTGTAGGACCATGAGAAGTGTTTTTTCTTTCAGTTGATCGACGGTGCAGACAAGTTTGATACTAGGTACCTCCTTTTCGACGATTGGTTTAGAGGGAGACATTCACGTGAGCACTTCAAGCGGTGGGTTCCACCCCCTAACCCTCCGCCAATGAGCGTTAAGGAGAAGCACCTAGCCACATTTAGACGACTCGAGAAACCTCTCTCTGTGCGATTACGGAGATCGAGCTGTGATAAACCCTGAGAATACGTTGGAGTTTGTGTGTCCAAACAAGCATAAAGTAAGTGCAAAGTGTATGTGTTGAAATGTTGAGTTATATGTATTCATGTGCTAATGTCACCTTATTTAGGTGTTTTAATGGCGAAGGTGTCATTTCAAGGAGTGGTTGTATGGTCCTAAGAACCAATGGCCAAAAGAACCGTGAAAGGTTAAGGAAAAGAAGAAAAAAAGGGTAATTTATAAAGCACCTCCTGTCATGTGTGAATGTGGTGTTAAATCCAACTATGACTTAGTCCCTGCGGAGCTTGGAATAGGCCATTACTGCGGCCATATGGTTGAGTATGATGAGGTTGGTTATTTTTGTGGTAAACATGAAATCGTATTTTGTTTCTTTTGTTAAGACATATATGATATAATATTTCTTTTGAACAGAGCACTAGGAAATGCAGGTGGAATGTTACGATGGTCAAGCTAAGTTCTTGGATGAACTGAAGGGGAGGCAAGTAATTGCACGGAAGAGGGGATATGGACATGACTACGTCAACCTATTCGTTAAACATCACAAAGAAAAGATACATGAGTTTGCTAGACAACGCGGTATTTGTAACCCGATCGATGTTGAGCTTAACAAATGGAGATTGGAGAGGCGGATGACGTTAGAGGAGGAGAGGGCAAGGAAGGAGGCAAGGGAGGAGACAAGAGTACAGATGCAGGTCTTGAACGAGCATGTTGCATTATATGCCAGTGAGTGCTTGAAAGCCTTTTTTTCGTTGCTTGATTTTAAATGTAATATAATCGCGTTGCTAACTGATTGTATTTTATACATGAAAGGATTGGTTGCAGCAAGGAACATGCCGCAGAGGTGGCTCGTGCAAGGTATGAGGAGAAGAAGTTAGATGAGCATAGATCGTGAGCTGGCCACACCGTTCAATCACCGATTGTGTTGTCTGATGAGGGGGACGAGGATGAGGACGACAATGACAGACTGAGTGAGCTCATTGCTCTAGTAGAGGCGGGCTTGCAGGCGCAAGAGGCTGAGGACGATACTGACAGAGTGAGTGAGCTCATCGCTCTAGCAGAGGCGGGCTTGCAGCAGAGGAGGCTGAGGACGACACTAGCAGATTGAGCGAGCGAGCCGACGGTGGTGGTGGGTGTGGTGTGCGGGGCCGATGGTGGGTGGCGGCGGTATGGATGCCCGACGCTCCGTCTGGGTGAGTTAGGGCTTGCGGGAGGAGGCGGCATAAAGAATGCCCAATGCCGAGCCGATGGGGGGGGCAACACGGTCACAGCATCGGCAAGCAGCGGGAGGCATGGCAAGGCAGCATGTGTGGCACGTCCAAGCAGGCGAGGGCGCGGCATGGGCACAGGGACCGGTGAAAGCTCTAGTTTGGTTTTGGTGAATTGATGAAACCCTAAGTGATAACCTAGTTTATCAAGTGATAATGAGATAGGTAGCACATTCCAAGTGATGAAGGAAATAAAGACCATGACATGATGATGGTGATGCCATGGTGATGATCAAGTGCTTGACTTAAAAAGAAGAAAGAGAAAAACAAAAGACTCAAGGCAAAGGTATAAATGGTAGAAGCCATTTTGTTTTGGTGATCAAGACACTTAGTGAGTGTGATCACATTTAGAGTCGATAGCCGTACTATTAAGATGGGTGAAACTCGTATCGAAATACGGTTATCAAAGTGCCACTAGATGTTCTAACTCATTGCATATGCATTTAGGATCTAGTGGAGTGATAACACCCTTGAAAATGTTTGTGAAAATATGCTAACACACATGTGCATAAGGTGATACATTTGGTGGTTGGTACATTTGAGCAAGGGATAGAAACTTCATCACGGCGTCTATCCATAGAGTGCGGAAGTCCGACGGTGGAGGTCATTGTAAGTGACCGGACGTTGGTCTCTGACCTGGACCGGCGCTGGTCTCGGTTGGACCCGGCGCATGGAAGTGGAAAGAGGGCGCGTAGTTTCGTCTCATGACCGGACACTGGTGCTAAACCCGACCGACCTTTCAGGGCCGAGTCCGGTCGATCTAACGTATGTTGACGTAGAGTCACCGAACGCTGGTACCGGGTGTGTCCGGTTGAGTATGGACGACGCGCGTCGGTCGTGATTTTCGCTCGGATGCTTATCGAACGACCGGACGCCGAGGTCCGGCGTCTCGGTCACTTCAGCAAGAAGCGCGTCCGGTCATCACTTGACCGTTGGGATCAGGCGCTCGGTATTTGAAGAAAGGGGACACATGGCGTGCATCGCGCGACCGGACGCTGAGGTCCAGCGTCGATCAATCTAACCGGCGCGTCCGATCACCCCGTGTTGTGCCCAGTGAAGGGGTACAACGGCTCTATTTCATGGGGACTTCTATTTAAGCCCCATGACCGGCTCAAGCTCACTCTTTTGGCCATTTGCATTGACATAGCAACCTTGTGAGCTTAGCCAAAGCCCACCCACTCATCTCCATCATTGATTCAACATCTTTGTGAGATTGAGAGTGAATCAAGTGCATTGCTTGAGTGTTTGCATCTAGAGGCACTTGATATTCGTGTTTTTGCGGGATTCACTTGTTACTCTTGTTGGTTGCCGCCACCTAGACGGCTTAGAGTCGTGAGGATCGTCGAGCGGAGGTTGTTGATTGTCTTCGGCTCCGATCGTGGTGATTGTGAGGGATTCTTGACCTTTCCCCGATGAAGAGCCAGAAGATACTCTAGTGGATTGCTCGTGGCTTGTGTGATCCTCATCTTGTGTTGTTTGTGTGGCACCCTATTGAGGGTTTGGCGTGTGATGCCAATTAGCGCGTGAACCTCCAAGTGAGTGAATCGCCACAACGAGAACTAGCTTGCCGGCAAGCAAATGAACCTCAATAAAAAATCATTGTATCATCATTTGATTTCGAGGTGATTGGTCTTCATTGTTATTCATTCTTGTTATTGATTGGCTCCTTCCTCGACACGGCGGTATAACCTTCTTGCTAACTCTCTTTACATTAAAATAGTTGTCAAGCTCTTTAGTGTAGCTAGTTGTGAGAGCTTATTAGTTTGGTTAGTGTGGCTTTTTAGTTAGCTTTTGAGAGCGCACTAATTTAGTGTAGTGTCATAGCTATTGTGTGGATATAAACTATATAAACTAGAATTGTGGTAGGTGACTTGCTTTTTAGTAAGCTAGCGCAATACTTCTTCGCCTCATAATTGTCTAACCGGTTTGTTAAATGTTGTTGTAGAAATTTTTAATAGGCTATTCACCCCCCTTCTAGCCATTAGAACCTTTGCCGTCCATGCACAGGCGTGTGCAGACGAGGGCGGCCAGTGGAGGCGCGTGCGCGAGCAACGATGGCGACGCTGCTCTGCTCGGGCGATTGAGGGAGAGGGAGAGGAAGAGAGGGACGGGGCCCATACGTAATAAAGGCTCGGCATCAGGGTGACTGACGCCGAGCTTCCTGCCATGTCACCTCCACATCCGCTTCGAGCGACGCTGGCCACGATGACGCCGAGCTATGGGTCCAGATTCTGAAATCTTTACCTCAAGGGATTATTTGTGAAAAACTTTCAAAAAAAAAAGGGCTAAAAATTAAAAAATTCGGGCGGACTGAGGACATTACCCGTAACGAAGAAAGAATGAACAAAATTTCCCACGGTAAGAATCATCGCCCCAAGTATGGTCAAAATGCTACAAATCTACTGTTGTTGTATCATTCAAGACACCTGTATCATCAGGCGGTGGCTTTATATACTTCCCCAACGTCTTTTGCCGAGCTCTATTCTTGATTCTCTGGATCTTCTCTCTGCTCTGCTGCTTTCGCCGCTCCTTCTCCTGCTGCCGCATGCTCCGCTCCCTCTCATAGAGACCCTGCCAGAAGACCTCTCCAGTTTGTGGCCAGAGCCACCTCCTGTCCGGGTGATCCAAGTCAAATTCTTCTGCAAGCTCCTCGTCCATGCTTTTCAGAGTGGTGTAGGAGAAAAACTGCACTGACATTTGACCTCTCCTGCCACTGAGATGGTGCTGCTCCTGCATTGCACCAGTCTCAGGATTAACATAGACCATCCGCCGTGCACTGTGGAATGCCCAAACATTCACAATCAACTCCAGAACACGAGAATAGCAGTGCTCGTCCTGTACAAAATAAGAAAATGTCAAAGGAGCACATGACATCATTAAAAGGGAGACACGGATGGTGAGTTTCTATTTCTTTTCTTTTCTAAGCACATGAGGGCAAACCATGTATATCGGCACAGTGATGATCTCGATTCTTATAGCTAGGGAATACATTTCACACTATAGATTATTCTATCTTCAGAAAATCTATTGCTCTGGGACAGGATTTGAAAAATAATTAATGTTATCTAAAGATGTGGCAAAGGGATCACCTTGTGGAGACTTAAGATGCAATGCCCAGTTTGATGGTGTTTGTCATACATTTGTGCATCCAATGCATCAACAAACATTCTGAAAAGCAACAGCATACTGTAAACACTAATGAAGCATATAGAAAATCCAGAATTTCTATGGTATGATAGTCCTATCAGGTAAAAGGAATGAACATAGAACAATGCAAGCAAGCAAATAGCGACCAAAAAGACTTTATCCGTGTTGATTAACATCTAGGATGCCTGTTATAGCAACATAATCCTTTGAAATGATCAAATGACCAGATACTAGTTGAGAACTAATCTTTTTTTGGACCCTGAGTCAATTAAAGCAAGGCTGCGCTTTAACAGGTAATTTTCCACAAAGTAGACAACCCCAAATAATCATTAGCAATATACTGCTAGCAATGCTGACACAAATATGCTTAGATCAGCTACATCCAGGAGCTCATTCACAGTATGTTTGATATACATATAACATCAGATAATAAACCAGTGCATACATATTTTATCTAGCTATACATGTAATAACAGTCACTTGATTGTCAGTAAGATTCCAAAAACATAACCCATACCTTGAAAACATAACAAATTCTAGGAATGACTGTGTAGGCAAAACCCAACTTTGCATCACAGACCATGTGTCTCCATCATTAGGCATATGTAACAGAGAATCCAGGTCATGATCAAGATGTACACCATACATCCTTTGGAAGGCCTCCAAAACAGCTAACCTTTGAGGTACAAGTGCAGAGTAGATTAGTTCCATTCTAACAGAATAAAAACCACTATGACAATACCATTGAAAAGCATACAACACAAAGCTGATTACATTAGTTAGGATGGTTATACCCATAAATACCATATATGTAGCATATATTAAGGTAACAGATCGCGTAGTTCTGTAACGATGATAAACTGAAATAGGCACTGAAGAACCCAGAGTACAAAAAGCTTAAATGACTACTCCCTTCGTTCCAAATAGTAAATCATTTTAGCTTTGCCCAAAGTCAAACTTCTCAAGCTTTGATCAAGTTTATAGAAAAATACACAAACATCTACAACATCAAATAAGATTCACCAGAGACACCATGAAGTATATTTTGATAGTGCATTTATTTGATATTGTAGACATTTGTACATTTGGTCTATAAACTTTGTCAAAGTGAGACAAGTTTGACTTAGGACAAAACTAAAACAACTTATAATTTGAAACAGGGGGAGTACTGTAAAAGAAAAGAACATAAAATCCTTTAAATGATTGCTCAGTAAATGTTTGGTGATTCTTCAAAGAATTGACTATGTGCAGCAGTAACAACAAGGTGCTTTATTCCCAAGCAAAGTTGGGGTAGGCTACAAATGAAATCCAACAAGGAACTAAAAATAAACAAACAAATAAAAAAAAATTGACACAATTTTGCTCAAACCATTACATTTGCAGAGTTCAAAATTAATTCAACACATGAAACACATTTATCTGGCTAACCTGCAGTTCCCAGCATTGATCGCATCACAGAAGGACCAAAAATCTTTATTAGTGTGGTTTCTTGGATCTTGATCCATCCGAACCCAAAAATAAAAGGAATCTCCATGCTTTTGAGATTGAACGGCATCTAAGATTGCAGATTCAGCATTGTTTGACAAGTTTGCCTGTTCAGGGAAACAGCTACTCAGTAGTCAGTACAAATAAGGTGTCAATTGTTCTGGAAGACAATGTGGATTGTTCTCACTGCACTCAATGCACACGTTTCTTACAAAGAAACACTTGCCTACTCATCATGTTATCAATCAGATTCATGAAATCCATGGTACCCAACAAAAAAGATATTTAAAAAAAGAAGAAAGAGCTCTGCAGCATTATATGGCCATGACTGGTTTGTTGGTCACTGGTCGTTTCTTAGTTTCTTTTCGGTGATTTCTGCTGTACTGCTCATTCCCCATTAGGGGTCTTTCTTCTTAATATAATGACACTCTACTCTCCTGTGTTAGGGGAAAAAAAAGGAAAATAAACATACTTGATCGTTACCTTTCTTGCTGTAGATCTCCAGGATTGAAACCCTATCCAAGAATTTTTATGTATTCTGTCAATTCTGTTGGCAAGAGCAAAGAAAGCTCCAAATTCACCAAGAATATCTCTGTAATAGACATTATTGAGAAGAGGAAGACGAGAAGAAGCATCAATATCATCGGCTCCTGGTCTTCGACCTTTTGAAGACTAATGAAAGAGAGACGTAAATTATCAACATTATCCATCAAAATATTTGCAAAGCTATACCATATGTTATTCTTATTAATGCCATATCTGTTCCACTGGTAGTAGTAATTATGCTCGTTTTAGTTTTAGAACTATTTTGCCCAAACATAACCAGTCATCAGTAACTATGCCAATTTCAGCAAAGGTAAAATATCTAGCGCAAATTAATTTTCGGGTGCTAAATCATGAATTCACCAAGTGGATTCTTGGATGTAGTTTGGATGGATCAGGTTTTGAAAGGGATAGAGGGCACCATATAAGAGTGATGGACTCCACCACCAATGATTGAGAAATCAGGTGGTATTCTGCCCTCTTGGCTGATTATAAATCTGTACCACTCCAGATACTCCATCCATTCCAAATTACAGGTTGTTTTGGCTTTACTATATATCTAGACATAGTGTATATCTAGGAACATAGCAAAAGCTATGTACCTAGAAAAGCCAAAACAACCTATAATTTGGGATGGAGGGAGTATCATCCAACGACACGCATGGGAGTTTACACATCATCACCTAACATACCTCAAGAGGAGTTGAATTTACAGAATTATTGCTATATTCATATATATCATCAAAGGCTTATCTAACCAAAAAAAATATTAGACCAGAATTTGAAGAGTCCCTTAGTATGTAGTGGAATGTATTACTCAAAATATTTTAAGAAGGACCAGTCAAATCTTCGAATTTGCAAAATTTTTGCTAATCTATGTGTTTATAGCTCATATCCTCAATGTTAGAATTGTCTGTCAAATGAGTTTATAACGTCAGAATTGTCTAAACGCATCTTTGGAACATTCAAGCTGACCACAATTATTTATTGTGCTTTGTGGTAACAACAGCTTACCAGGCCAACTCCACGATAAAGAGAGCTCTGGTGCAGAAAGGGCCAGGTCCCCTCCCCAAAGAAAGGCTCATATATACAAAGTGGCTGACCTGTCCGCTCAATCTCCTTGTCATCTCTTTCATGCAATTCATTTTTTAACCTCTCTACCCTTTTCACATTTCTGTACACCTCCTCCCATGTTCCATGCGGTTGGTCATTCCTGTCCTTCAACTACATAACAATCAACTCCAGTTACTTACTTCAAAGCATTTAAAAAAAAGAGAGAGAGAAAGAAATAATGAATGACTATGCAAACTATTGCTGAATATGCAACATTTGCATTTTACCTCTTCCTCCATTTTTCTTTTGATGTCCATAACCTCATTTGCTCTCTGTTCCTCCCAAGCAATTGCAGAGAATGCGTCACTGATCTTTGTTGTACTCAAAGAAGAGTTTTCCATTTGGTTGCTATGCCACTCCTGCTCTAGTTTCTGGAGTATCTTGTAGCCAGAAAAACTTGAATTCATACAGTGTAAATGATTCACATCCTCGAATAGGTGCCATTTCCACTCCTGTTTCAGAGCTAAAGGTATCTCACCAGCAGTTAAAGGGCTCAGTGCATCAGTGGGGAACTTGACAACATTTTCTAATAGCACAGCATAACCTTCAATGGTCTCAGAAGCCATAAGATTCTTGGCATGGGCCTTCCCAGCTGAAGCAATTTTTTGCCCTGAAACAGACACTTTACCATTCGACACTGCTCCAAGAAGAACTTGAGCTAACATGCCAATATTCTTTCTTGGAAACAGAAGTCCATTTACTCCATCATCGATCTACGCCATATGACAACCATGTTAGTTTATTTAGAATACTATACGCAGTCATCAGTATTTGAAACTAGAGATGAATTACAATCTAATATGAGGTGCCATCACGAACATACATGTTTTCTAATAATTGCAAGGTCTGGAGCTATAACCAGCTTCTCAAGACTCATAGCTTGGACTAGCACACTGGGGAATAATTGCTCCTCGAGACAAGAATAATATATAACAAGGTCAGCTGTACCAAGGAGGTTGTCCTTATCTTCAGCAGCAACATGCTCCACTGCACCTCTTGGGAAGCCAACACTTAGAGCAACAGACTATCATGAACCAGAAAACTAATACACGGTTAGATACAATTTAAAGCACTCAGACTGTAAATAACAGTTCACATGATTGAACAGGGCATGAAGACATGAATAATAACCTCAAGGGCCATCCTATGCTTCTCAGTTATGTTCCCAGTGAAGACCTTTACTTTCAGTTCAGATTGTGTGCTATTCTCAGAGCGATATCTCTGTAACAGAGGACTTACTGCTTGCAAGACAAGTGCCTCTTCCATCAAATTATCACCATATGAAAATGGACTACCAACAATAGCAATTAAAAAATCTTTGGGACTCAAGCCCAAGCTGATCCTCACATCTTCATGGTAACTTTTAGCAATAAAGCTGTCAACCTGAAATGCTTCTGAGGGGGGGCCTGGAATTACAAAATAGTTACCAGAATCAAATGCAGCATACATCACCTGCAGGGAAATATTTAATTATACTTTTAGGTCAGAGGATCTTCATCCATATGACAATGACTCAATGATTGTTGAAATCACAATCAGATCAGAAGTAAATACCGGTAATATATAGTTTGGGAAAACTATAACATTTGCCCTGCTGAATACATCTTTCCAAGCATTTATGAGCTGAATCATTCCACTCGCATTATATTCTTTAGCACGATGTGCAAGAGAATATTCATGCACAGTCCAAATGATAGGTATGGATTTGAAAGGCTCGTGCAGAAGACTGTAGGAAGGCACAGACACATAGTCCAAATCAAACATCTGACTTTGAGAAAGTATTCTATCAATTTCAAACAGAACAAACTATGGTCATACAATTCTAGTTATCTAATACTACCTTGAGAATACTGGTCTTGCCTCAATAGAATTGACAAGTATGCCATCATAGCTGCAGAAATAATGCAAATAAACCTGATGAGGAAATAATTAGAAAGTGAGGCTGAGGCCACATATCTTATCAGTAAAAGCAGGACGGGAAACATATAATACAGTAACCAATAAAAAACAACAGGAGAGATAACTTCTGAAACTTACTCTAACCAATCTACCAAAATAGGTAAGTTTGCGTCCTCAGGTAGTATGCTCACTGGTACTCCAATGGCTCTCCAGATATTACCACATGGGCCATCCTCAAGTGAGAAAACCTGGATTGACAAATTAAAGGCAGAAGTTCAGAGAAAGTATTTTGGATGTACATGATAATGACTAAGAAAATATATATGTAGGAAACCTTAACTCAGATACTAGCATGTAGTAATAGTATGGAAACTAGGAACACTAGCATCTCACCAAAAACAAGTACAGCCGGTCAAGTCAGAAAGAGCAAAAAAAAAAGGTGATACAGCATAAGTGCATAAGTTGAGCCATTGGCCAAACGTAGCAGCTTACTGTGTAAAAGGGCAATACTCCAAGTATCATTATCAAAAAATTATGTGCATACGTCAAGAAGTTAATACAATCAAAGCAACATGCCAGCATCTTGGTTAAGTACATTAGATATGCCGAATCTTATTTTGATGAGTCTCATAATGTTTCTTGGTAATATGGAAGTCTAAAAATGTTGCTAATTAACAACCTCTGCAGGTAACATTTTATATTACACACAAAAAGGGTAAAAGTACCAGTTCTTTGCACATTTTAGCACAGAAGACTATACACCAAAGAGGCAAAGTTGATCAATCTGGATACCAATATGCTTCCAAGTTCTGACAGGAACTTAGTAGAGGAACCAACTCTCAGGACAAAACATAGTAGAGGAAGCAAATTCAGCGAAAAGGATTGCACCTCCAATTTAGCCCTTGAATTTTTTCCATACCACAGAAACTGCACTGACACAAACCTAGCAAAATACAATCCGCATTACATTACTTCAACATGAGGACACCAAACTGCAGAGCATTTAACTGACACGAGTCAATTGAAGTAACCTCACAGTTAGCTTTGTGTATCTTCCTTCTACTCTCTAGAAAGTAGAAACTAGAACATAGAAACCAACACTGAGGCTCATGCATTACTTAAAAAAGTGCATACATCATACATGGCAACCCAACTTGCTCCAAAATATTGATCACAACAGCCCAGCTTAACCCTGAAGTTATGTCCAGTTTTTCACAACTAACTGTTAGAAGCAAAATCTAACAAAACAAACACAAGGGCACGCATCGCACTCAATCAGTGCCTCCACGAACTTGTCTGACGAGCAACAAGTAAATTGCTAGCCTATGGTTCAGGAGACAGCATTTCAGCAACGCACCTTCATTTCGTAGCCCATGGCTTCCAGCACCGAGGCGACACTAACCATCTGAAGCTGCATTGCGCTGGGATACAGGTCACCAAACACCTACAGAAAGCTCAACCGCGAGCAGCGAGAAAAAAATCAGAAACCACATGGCAAAAAGTAAATCCCAACCCATACATATCCTCCCCCCACGCAACGCCAGCAATCCTCAGTAGTAGTACTCACCATGGCAAGCCGCGGCTTCCGTACCCCGAGCCTCGTTACGGGCGTGCCGAGCTCCGCCAAGCTCTTGGCCTCCTCCCTCAGCTCCCTCGCCCATTTCTCCCTCAACCTGGTCGGCTGGAACTCGAACGCCACGCCCGCCTCCCACCGGACGAGGAGGCCGTCGCCGCGGTCCTCGGCAGTCCCGCCCCCGCCTCCGCCTCCGACGCGCCCCGGTCCCGCGCGGCGCGAGGGGAGCGTCAGCCTGGGCCGCTCGACGACGACGACGCCCGACCCCGGGAGGAACGCGACGAAGACGATTGCGACGAAGAAGAAGGCGGCGGCGGCGACCATCCACTGGAGATAGTCCACCTTCTCGAACAGCAGGAAGCGCGCGAGCCTGGATCTCGCCCGCACCTTCCGCGCGCTGCCGCCGCCGACGCCGCCAGCCCGCAGCGCCGGGCCCGGACCGCGCTTGTAGCTCCCCGCCGCGGCCGCGGCCCCGTTGTCGAGGGAGCCCATGCCGAAGCGCCAAGGCTGAGCCGCGCGCTGCTGCTCCTAGGGTTCCGCGGCCATCGTCGATTGGTCGGTCGTGCAGACGAGAGCGAGCAATGGATTGGCAGTGAAGCGACTGTGCTAAGGCTCGTGAGCGAGAGCGGGGCGCACCTACTACTGCGAGTATTTCCGCAGCGAGGCGTTGCGTTTCGTTGAGCTTGTTGAGATGGGGAGGACCAGAGGAGACTCGAGGGGGGTGAGGACGATGGCGTTTAGACTACCCAAATACGACCCATTTCACGTTTGTAGTCGCTCTACACGCAAAATGTTTCAATATTTATTTTTGTTTTCTCCATAAATAAAACCTAAAAGAAAATCTTTTCCTACGAATAGGTCTTAGAAGAGATACTTAAATTATGTTATAAGTCTCCTGACATGTAAAATAGATCTATAGATCTCAGATAGATACGGTGCCGTCGGAGACCTATTTTACGGGGTGTCCTTATTTGTCACCTGTTGAGACAGTCTTAGGAGAGGTGAGCGGAGCAGGGCGCGCGGACGGGCGTCGGATGGAGGTCGGACGGTCCAAGACGGGGCTCCCCACGCGCGGAGCATGGGGCCGCGTGTTTCGGGAAGCGGGTCGGCGGGTGGGGATGGGTTCACGCCGTCTCGGGCTCCGTAAGCCGCGTAGGCAAGTCCTGCTGCTCTCTCTCTGCGGGTTTTGGCGTGGCAGGTGGGTCCGGATCCCGAGGGGGCCCATGAGACATCCTGCGGGTAAGCCAAGTGCCTGGTGGCGTTCGGTTTGTGCAGAGAAGGAGCCTTTGTTTGGGTATTTCGAGTCCAACGACATGTTTTCCTCGAGTACTCCTCCACTGTCCACTGTTGTCGCCAAGCCCGAGGATGGAATAAAGGTGCTGTTCTATTTCAGCCCACCAACTTTAATTTTCCCTCACGATAAATTAATGAATAGTAATTTTAGTCGGGCTTTTCAGCAAAATAAATGGTGCGAATAAATAAATAAATATTTGCCCATGCGCAATTTCTTGTCAATACCAAATTTGTTGCTCGTACACTTTACATTGTTTCTTTATATTCTCTATTACACAAAAATCTTTTCATTTTTTCCGTGAAAGTAATACCCAATCAATTATACTCTACTCAAGAGGTGCCTTAACGATGATAAAAAAAAAGGAAGAGAGATGGCTTAACGCTAGCATCATGATTTACGAGCACGCATGGAAAAGTGGCAGGATTTTTGCGGAAAGAAGGTGCTATCTCCTGATTCCAGAGTTCAGGTGACGCGGCAGCTTTGATTCGTCCGTCTTTTCGGCACACTGGGGAACGCACGGAAAGATTACTGGACCGGGTCTGCCGGTCTCTTTGGTACACAAACGAAACGTTCCTGTGGGCGAAAGCTCAAGTTGCATGGTTGGTCGGAAGCGTGCGGAAGAGCGAAACGCCTGTCTCCGTCTCCGTGACCGAAACCGAAAGCTCCTGCCGCGGCAGCAAAAGAGCAGGTGCGCCGTGCGCCGTGCGCCGTGCGCGGCAAAGATGTGGCTGTAGAATGTGGAAAGCTTCCAGCCTGGCCGTTTAATTCGTTTCCCTTGTGTCTGCGCATATAAGGTCAAATTAGCCCTTATTTAGTTGGGTGAATTTGATTTTTCGTTTCAAAACCTTGTGTCTCGCAATTTATAAGGTCAATTAGTTTTTATTATTTCTCTTTCGGTTGATGACGCCCCTTTTTAGATTTTGCCCCTAAACAAGGCGTTATTTCTCTTTCGGTTGATGACGCCCCGTTTGCCCCTGGGAATTGGACTTGGATGGCGTGTACTTGGTTCAAATGAGAAAAAGTATTTCCATTCGGATTTGGTGCGGGAGAACGCCCTATTTTTCGCAGGATTGCATTGTAAACACGGGACGAATCTTCATGAATTCCCTAGCTCGTACAGTACCAACCAGGATAAGCAGAACGGTGGAACCAGACAAAGAGCGGGGTTTCTCGTTTCTGTGCTGCTCTGTACTTAAAAATTCCATTCAAGATGCAGATGTATTTAATTTGGCTTATTAGTCATTGTATAATATTTTTTTATTAGAATAAATCAATCGACGATGCTTCTCAGCCTGACAAACGGACACGGCCGTAGTATCCGCATGTCAACCTTGGACCTGATATGAATATGCCTTGGCCTTGTAGAGTGGCGGATGAAAAGAGTATTCGTGCACCGAGACTGTCGCCATCAGCCAGATCTGCTCGCGTTAGATGCTGTCAACGAAGTTGGAGGAGGACCCCGTCCCGTCACAATCAGGTCGCTTTACGACCACGCAAGCGAACAATTTCATCATTGCGATTGCGAGAATGTGCAGCAACCAGCAAGTTTCTCTTTAAGACGTTCTTCAACAAAATATAAGATCCATTCGTTCTTTGAGTAACGTTACAGATAAATTGTTTAATATCTACTTTTAGTCTTCTTTAATAATAAGATCCAAAAGACAACTATTTCGATAAATAGGTCTCCAGAAAAGAGAATACTCAGATTTGGTTATATCTCTCCTAACACTTAAAATAGGTCTTTTATATAGGTACTCTGTTTCTATTGGAGGCTATAGAAACTGTGATGAATATTCATTTTGAGTTTGGATTTCACGGTGGGTCCCCTTTGAAGACAGCCTCACGATTCGTTCATAAGAGCACGGAGCCGTGCATTCAGCGTTTGTCACTGTGTCACATGCAACAATTCTGAAAATCAGGCGACATGTAATTCAGTGCGTGATCCCCTATCGCTATCAGTTCCAACAGGTAATCCATTTCTGTTAGAAGAGATATCAGCTAGCTACAGCAACAACCGCTCCGCAAACACGAGTGAACAGTACATATATGTAACAGTACCATGATCCAGTAGCTCGCTGGAAAAGCTATTCATCCAGATGGAGACGAAGCCCCACCCACACAGGCAGCAGGAATCAACATCATATGGTCCATTGCGCTGTCCCTAAAGGGCAATCATATCTTGATTGATCTAGACACCACGGAGGTTGACCCACAAAGCTGCCGACGCTTATAGTTCCCGCCCATCCCCAGCCACAATGGCAGAGACCAGCAGAGATTAGAGAGTAAAGATAGACAGAACACCAAAATTTCAATAGTGCTGATGCCTGATGGTATGCCGCCCAGATCCCATGGAGGCTACACCTAGAAATTCAGGTATTTTGTTAGTTGGTTGGTTTCTGGGTTAATAAGCTCGGTTGATACTGGTTTGTTGTAAAAGAAAAATATTGTATCATAGCTGATAAGCCCTGGTTGAAACCAACAAGCGTGATTATAAATTCGGGTTCTGTGAATGCTCTCAGGCATCAAGTATGAGAACAACAATATTGGTTAACACAAGATTGATGTGATTTTTACTAGTAACAGTTCTTGTGAATATAAGTAAATTCCACAGTGACAAAAGGCATGGGTCTTATTATCTAATCTAATGGGATACAAGTTACCAACTGATCTAGGATTTAACAATAAATAGCCAAGTGTGTTGCTTGCATAAAAAACATTACAAGTATGGAAAGCACCCTTTTCTGATATTTGTCACACCATTTTTTTTAAGTCCAGGTGAATGACCCCAGATCTGAGCTTTGCTAAACCTAAGACAGCATGTGAACACATGGGCCATCTGACATTGCAAACAGTGCCCTAGTACTGCTTTTGTTAAATTGTGGCAGGTTAAGATATTGGTATAAGGGGGTGTTTGGATCCTATGACTAAAATCTAGGAGGTGTCACGTGAGGATGTTGCATGGGGTGTTCGGATACTAATAAAAAAACAAATTACAAAATCCGTCGGTACTCTACGAGATGAATTTATTAAGCTTAATTAATCAATCATTAGCACATGTTTACTGTAAGCACCACATGGCCAAATCATGGACTAATTAGGCTTAAAAGATTCGTCTTGCAAATTAGTTGCAAACTATGCAATTAGTTTCGTAATTAGTCTATGGGTCTGTTTGGTTGAGCTGTAGCTTTTAGAAAAGTTGTGGTGAGCTGTAGCTGTTGGAAAAGCAGCTGTCAGATGTGAGCTGTGGATAAAGCCAAAAGTCATTTGGTTGAGCAGCATTAGCTTTTTGGGAAAGCAGCTGTAGTAGGTCCCATGTCTCAGCCGACCCTACTTGTCAGTTACCCAACACATTTTTCTCATGTTTTTTCATGTCCACGAGCACGAAGAACAAGAGGCCGGTGAGAGGCAGTGCTCCTGCGAACCCGCAGAGCCTGGGACGGGGCCGCCCGCTGGTGTCGAGGACGGGGCCGCGCCTGCGCCGCCGCAACTAGGGAAGGGACGGAGCCGCGCCCGCGTCCGTCGGTGCTAGGGATGGGGCTGCGCCCATGCCTGCCGGTGCCAGGGATGGGGCCGCGCCCAAATCCAAGCACTAGGAGGGAGAGAAACGGCCAGAGATGGCCTGGCCGCACTGAGCTTGAGCTCGGGCGGCAATGGTGGTACGACGGCGAAAACCAGCCCGAGGGGCCTCAACCCTAGACGAGCGATGGCACAAACCACTGGGGAGGAAGGAGGGAGTCAAGGCAGAGCTGTGTGCGTGGCGAATCGGGAGGAGGCGGTTTGGTGGTGGCGAATTTGGCTGGCGGAGCTCATGCGGGAGACAATGGCGTATGCGCCTGGGAGATGGCAGAGAGGGAGAGTGAGAGCGAGCATGTGGGAGAGAGAGATGCGCCGCTACCCGAGCCTGCTTGCGGAGGAGAGGGGCGCCACCGGAGGGGAGAGGGCTGCTGGAGGGGAGATGCGCCGCCGGCCCAAGCCTGCTTGCGGACGAGCGGCGCTCTTTCTTTCACGCGCAAGAAGACGAGTCGCGAGCAAATCTAACCGGTACGCACATAATGGATGGCATTGCGGGTAATTTTTCATCCCCACAGCCGGTGGAAGCAGCTCTCCCCTGCTTTAGAAAATGAACTACGTAAAAGCTGGCTTTTGCAAAAGTTGTAGATCTACCATAGGGCCTTTGGTTGGCTTTTGGGCTTTTGGG